GAATGTATTAACAGAATCTTACTTAATGCATTCACTTTCTGATCTTCATGGATAGAGAATGAACAGTCCTGCTCCAAACACAGCTATACAAAGACATTTTATATAGTACACCAACTCCTCACTTATTGGCATGGTTAGGTTCTAATGACCAGGTCGTTAGACAAAAATTGGCATTATGTGAATATAGAGGATGACCACATCAGATCACAAAATACAGAATGACTACATCATTCCACAAATGCCAAATTACATTATTCCATAACTGCCAAATTACATCATTATGTTACTGCCAAACCACTGAGAATAAAGGCCCAGCTGAGTTGACACATAACCTTAACTATCACAGACAGTTACTCTTGCCTAGAACCTCAGCATTTGTTAATGCCAGATATATGTCATTAATGCGCAAAACAGTCTAATAGATTTTTTACTATTGTTGTGAATGTGAGATGTCAGATAACAAGACAGCCAATAAGTGAGAAGTAAGTGCAGTTGGATAAACATGGTAATATTTGTGTCACCACCTTTGAAACTCTGAGTAAACATTTCTTTAAAAACTAAATGACAGTCTTACTAATGATAGAATCTGAAAACAATATCTCAATAAGATTTTTGTTACTACAAATGAATTACTTAAATTCATTTAAAGCCAGCTACATTACTGAGAGAATTAGCTAAAATATAGTATTTTAGAATCTGAGATTTTAATTTTAAATATAATTTTAGGATACATTTAGTAGAAATATGTAATTATAGTAATATATGTTCATTTAAGACATGTAGACCTTATATAGACCACACAATTACAGACAATGATTTAGAATGATTATAAAGTTGCAATTTCTGATCTTTTTATTTAGTAACTAGTCCCATCATTCAAAAGAATCTATATATACAGATAAAAAACCAGCTGTGCCATAGATCCTAGATACCTGTATTAACATGCCTAAATTTATTCCACAAATCAAGAAACACTTATTTTATATATAATCAATTTGAAACTACTTCTATATTCAACCCAAGTAGAAAACATCTTTTAGAAGATATTTACTCCAACTGTAACTCATTCCTGGATATTTAAAATGTCCCTTTCATCCCTGTCTAGGAGGTTTCCTAAGATAGCATTCTTCCTCTCTTCCCTAAATATAGAAAACTTGAATAATGAAGTTCAATTAAGTTTGTTTATCATTCAAAACAGGGAGGAATTTTAATTTGAGAAAACCAAGATCTCAGAATTTTTATTTAAAATCTTGTTTCCATGAACACTAATAATTTATTTACTCAATTATATCTAAAGAACTTCTCTACCCCGTCTAAACCATAAATTTCTAAAATTCCTAAATTCACTTTCCTAAAGCTGTAGGTCAAGTGGATTAATTTAGAATTTTAAACAAAAAGACAAAAAAAAACCCTCTGATGCTTAATTTAGGAAATTAATCTGTTGAATTTCTGGCCCTCTAAAAGCCATTTGAGGAGGAGTAGTAATAGCGCCTAGGAGCTCTGGTGGCATAGTGCCTAAGGCATTTATTTGACTGCTAACCAGAAGCCTAGAGGTTCAAACCCACGAGCCACTCCTCGGAAGGAAGGTTGGGCAATCTACTTCCATAGTGGTATAGCCTCGGAAACCCATGGAGGGGTCGCTATGAGTCGGGTTTGACTCGACAGCACATAATAACAACAACAACAGTAATAGTCATCACCTAGCAGAGGCCAATGCACCTTATTGTCAAACATCAAGCACCTCCCTACACAGGTACAGAGAATAGATTTGACCACCATAAACTTCCTCCCAACTGACCAATGAATGCAGATATTTGATACATTTCAAAATAGTTACAATTCAAAGTCATGAGCCCTATTTCTGATAATGATGAAAGGAAATAAAGATCAAACAAGCATCTTTCCACTGGAGGATAAAAACTCAGCCAGATGCTTACTGCTGGCAACTGTTATAGTGCTCATGGAGGAGCCCTGGTCTGGCCTGAGGAGGATGGGCACTGGGGATGCATTTGTGGGAGGCTTTGCTGAACACTCCTAAGAATTTTGCTCTATCAACCTGAAATGTCCTTGTTTCTATCTCTTTAGTCTGTTCCCATATTTCATCCCACCAGAGTTGGCAGTCTTACCCCAATTCCTACTTTTCCTAGCCTCTTAAAAAATATTTCTGTGACTGAGGAAACAGTGTATACTGCTCAGGCCTTGGGATAGGAGCTAGTTAAATCAGGAACAAGGCAGTGTCCAGTTGCAAAGGCCAAGTCAGCATATTTTCTCCCCCTCCCCCCTCCACACCACCAGCTTTTCAGGAGAAAAAGAATCCTATGACTCACTCAGTCTACCTGGGCTCATACTCAGAAAGGTGGAGGGACTCAAAACAGTCTTCTTTTTCCCTTTACTTCTGGATAGATTAACCAGACCCATTAATTTGCATTCACAGAGATGGAAAAAGCAAGAATATTAATAGGCAGTAGAAGTAGTCTGGAGCAGAGAAACCTACTGATTTCAGTAGCTTTCATTGCAAAATTAAATTTTTTTAAAGAATATTTGATCTCCCACCTCCTAGAAGACACTAGTGCATAAACATAGGGGCTTTTAGAGTTAAAGGAACATGACTTTAATTCCAAACATGCAAACACTAGGATGGAGGAGATAGACATGAAAGCCACACATAAAGATAGGAAAACAAACAGCTCTCCCTTGGTCAGCCCTCAGTGACCGTGCAGATCCGTGGGCACTGGTGGCCTCTCTGGCCCATTATTGCTCCCTGGGGACCATCATCCCCGTTCCTTGTGTGGGCCTCCTTATCCTACCCCTTTCCCATCAGGTGTACAGTGTTTGTCTACCTTATAGTAATAAACTGCATAGTTTGCCTGTTGCTCCCACCCTCTGTGTACCAGTCTTTCTCTGCAATCTGGATCTGTTGGTGACTACGGGTTAGCCTCTTCTCCTGGCTTCTTCCTCTTCCAGACTCTGTGTGTTTTTTTCTCTTTACATCCCCTAACCTACTTTCCTCCCACTGTCATTCCTTCCCACATTCTCCTCTTTGAATAGGCAAGCTTATCACTCAATTTTGTAGGGCTCAGTTGTTTTTCTCCGGTATCTGCCTCTGTTCCTCTGCCTATCTGGCTTCCCTCAGATGGGCCTCCCACTTATGCTGGAGCTGGTCTCTTCTCTGCCCATATACCTATGTAGAAGTAGCTACGAACACATCCAGTTTTGTATTTCTTGTATTCCCTTGCATCGTTATGGCTGGGTGTACACTGACCACATATAAGGTTCTTCCCAGGATTTTTTTTTTGTGTGTATACGAAAGTATCTTTCTCTCTGTGCATGCACCCCCCCTCACAGTCTGTGAATATTTTTCACCATATGCTTCTCTGGTGGGTACACAAATACACCTTGGCATGTACATCCATGTGTTCAATCAACTCTGAGATTGATTCCCTCCTGAGAACATGTTCACCTCTAGGAGTTTCTTCGGCTCTTATTACATGGGTTCATGTACAAGTGTGTCTCTCCCTGTGTGCTCACTTATGTGAAGGTTTCTGTGAATATGAATTCTCTCAGGTTCACAAGCTCCCCATGAACCAGAGTTCACACCAATCCTGTGGTCCTGCTTTTGTATGTATTTAAAGTACCAGGCACTAGTGGGAGCTCAACAGATGTTAATTCTTTTCACTACATTTATCTGAATAACTAGGTGAGCCTGTGTTTGGATGTCCCTCTGCCCCTCTCCTATAAGACCAGTTGAAGTTTGTTTGCTTGGTATGCACTAGGCTATTTGTCAGGATGCCCTGTGGGTTCTATCTCCCTCTAGTTGTCTCTCCTCTCGGCGTGAAATGTTACAGTCTTCCATATGGCATTCCCCTCTCTTATGCAGTGTATCCACTCCCGTCTTGCTCCTAGGCACATAGCACTGAATGTCCATAAACAGTTTTCCGTGTCTTCTGTGCCTCTTCCTTCCTCCCACTTTTATTTCAACCTGAAAATGTGTTCTTGGCTCTGTTCTCCAGTTGCAGCATATGTGTATCTATGTGAACTGCACTCGAGGTGCGTGCGTGTCCACGGGTCCAGAAGTTGGGGTGACAGAATATCCGCGAGTCTTTGCCCGGGTGCAGTGTATGCCCTCACCTCGCGTCTATGTGTTGGTTGGCGAGTGAGCCGGAGACGCGGCTCCGCTCCACTTTCCGGTAAGGGGAGGGTGTGCAAGTCTCTCGCCCAAGTACTCTTGTTCCTAGATAAGCCCTGGGTGTATTAAGGTCCTCGGGTATCTCTTCGGTACCGTAGGTTGGTGAGTGTTCCCCGGACGCCGTGCTTCTCCAGGAACGAGAAGCGCCAGTGTTCCCAAGTCCTCGCTATTACAAAGTGTCTTCCTCCCTCCACACAAGAAATCTTGTGTCCGGATCTTTAAGGGCACACAGTGTGGCCCCGCTCCATAAGCGGAGCGTATGTCTTCCCAAGTTCCTGAGTATACAAGTGTTCCCCCCTGCGCGGAGCGCCTATGTCCGGGTTTCTGAGGGCCCATGGTACCTAAGTGTTACCCAAATATGCGAACAGCTTGTGACCGCGGTCGCTCCCAGGTTGGTAACCGGTACGCTGTGCGCGACCCTCACCGCCGCCGCTGGCAGCGTGGTTATCTCACTTGTTTCCCCAGCGCATCTCTCCTTCCTTGGGAAGAACAAGCAGGAAACCCGGGGGCGCCGTCGGAAAGTCCCGCTGCGGCGGCGCAGCAGAGCCAGGGCTGCGGCTGCCTCGGCCCCGCCGCCAGGGGCCGCCCGTCCGCCCGCCTTCCAACGCTCCGGCGCCCGGCCGGGCCAGGACCGCGGCGTCAGAGACCCTGCCCGGCCCTACCCAGCTCCGCCGCCGCGGGAGCTGACGGCAGCGGCGATGAGCCACGGCTCTTCAGCCCCAGTCAGCCCCGCACTGGGTTCATTGGTCTGAGTTAGGCGCGGCGGGTGGCGAAAGGCGCCCTCGCCCTCCCCAAGCCCGGCGGGTCCGCTCACCTTGTGGCTCTGGTAGGTCTCAAGCGCTCGGATCGCCGTCTCGGTGAGCTTCACATGCAGTACAGTGATGTTGTCCTGCCCCAGCCGTCCGCACGACAGCCCGTAGCGTTTCTCCTCCCTCAGGCCCGCTGCCCCCCCTGCCGCCATCTTAAAGTCCCCGGGGTGCCGCTGCCGACGCCGCTCTGGCTGTAGCTTCCACTGCGGCCGCGGCTGCTTGGGCTTCTGCAGCCGCCGCCACAGCTACGGCCATCCCGCTGCTGACGTACAGTCATATACTGCGCGCAGCCAGACCTCAGGCTGCCACCGCCGCCACCCGCCCCACCCTCTGGCCCCGCGCCCCGCCCCGAGATCTCCTCATTGGCCCTGATCCCCTCAGAACCGCTCTCATTGGCCGTTCTCCGCTCTCACGGGGGCAGGGCCCAAAGTCGCCGGAGTTTTGCTCCTGGGACGGGACGTCCGAGAAGAGAAAGGCTGACGTCGAGGTGACGCGCCAACTTAATCACATCTGACGTCACGCATGGTCTTCTGGGCTTGCCGGCCGCGAATGGCCAAGCAGACTTGGGGATCCCCTGCTAACTGGCTATTCAGGTTACCTGGACTGGTTATCTGGAATCGGAACTCTCGGGTGATAGTTTTGAAGAGTAGTTTGCTTCCTGCGCTGGTGGTCCAAGGAGAAGAGGACCCCCTAGCCCAATCTGAGAAGATGACAGTGACCAAGTAAGGACTTTGTCCCCTGACGGCTACGTAAGAGATGATGGCGCTTGGGGTGTGTATGTGTATGTGTGTGTGTGTGTGTGTGTGAGGGAGAAGACAGTAGGCGGAGTTACTGGAGAGCCACTCCTTAAAATTCAGTTTTGTGTCGTTTACCTCTGCACTTGAATTAGTGAGTCGACCTTAGGCTTTAGAAGTTGGGTTATATTTTGTAGACATCTTAAGTATCAAGCCATCCCTAAAGTTTTTGGTTTGGTGGACATAGCATTATAGAGAATTGAACTTCAAGGTCTTTCCCAGCCATGCCTGGTTGTGAACTTCAAGGTCTTTACCAGCCATACCTTCAAAACTCGCCGTAGGGTCAGAGTTATGCCTTTTTTTGTGTGTGTGGTAAAAGTCACTCCTGGTTGAAGTGGTATCTCCATTCAAAGAACTGTAGAGGATTAGAACTGGCCTTGATCTAAATTAAAAGAAATACACTTCTCCATTCTCCAGATCTGTTTGAGTCCTGTCCAGTTTATTTGACACAAATATAGAAAAACAAAGCTAAGATTTAAAGCCAGGAGATGGGCTACTGATTCCAAATGGAGGAGTTGGGGGTGTGTGGAGGCCTGGCATACTTTCCATTCCTCACGATACTCCCTGTGTAGGCGTGGCTAGGGGAGGGTGCAAAATCAAGAGCCCTCTTGGGGCTGCATGTGGATACATTGACAGATAGACTTCCCGTTGGAGGAGATGAATTAACTGGGTATCTAAAACACCAGATAAAAACAAACCATTGAAAGGTTTGAAACTATTGAAAGGCAGGTAATTATTATTACTATTTTAAATTTGAGATGCTATTGTTTTCGTTAGATTATAAAACCTTGTTTTATAGACATTTCCCAGAAAAATGTATAGACAATTAGTGATTTCCTCCCTTTTAAATAAGATACGATCATGATTTCCCAGGAATTCCGAAGTCGGTGTTTTTCCATGATTTCACTCCCTGCCTGAAAAAATCGCTTCCCCAAAGAGACTCCGAGTGCACTACCTCTTGATTTAGATTGTCAAGCATTGTATGTGTGTAATGTGAATTACAGAATTCCTTCCATAGAGAATGGATTAAGTGGAAACACCTGTACTAGATGTTGGTTAGGAGCTATGGTAGCATAGTGCCTAAGGCACTTGACTGCTCACCAGAAGGCTGGCAGTTCAAACCCACCAGCCATTCCTCGGAAGGAAGTTGGGCAATCCTACTTCCGTAGTGATACTGCCTTGGAAACCCAAGGAGGGGTCGCTATGAGTTGGGGCCCACTCGATGGCAAAAACAACAACAACAACAACAGGTGTTGGTTACATCACAAGAGCTGGCGGTTCAAACCCACCAACCACTCCCCGGAAGGAAGGTTGGGCAATTTGCTTCCGAAATGATACTGCGTTGGAAACCCAAGGAGGGGTCGCTACGAGTTGGGGCCTACTCGATGGCACAAACAACAACAACAACATCACAAGAGAGCAGTTTGTAAATTGACTTAATTTCAATCCACTAGAATTGGCTGCTTGACTGCTAACCAGAAGGCTGGCGGTTCAAACCCACCAGCCACTCACTCTTCGGAAGGAAGATTGGGCAACCTACTTCCGCAGTGATACTGCCTCGGAAACTCGCTATGAGTCGGGCCGACTGGACGGCACGTAACAACAACAAAAATTGGCTAGTTGTTAAAACAGTGATTTGTTGTTTGCCGTCAAGTCGGCCCCGACTCATAGTGACCCCTCCTTGGGTTTCCGAGGCAGTATCACTACGGAAATAGATTGCCCCATCTTCCTTCCGAGGAGTGGCTGGTTAGCAGTCAAGTGCCGTAGCCACTATGCTACCAGATCTCCTAAACAGTGATTAACACTTGTTAATTTAGTTTACTTTGGTGGTAAATGCAGCGTGGTAATTAAATTCATTGCATAGAGAAATTAAAAGCAATCACAAAAATGGATTAAGAATTTTAATTTTAGAAGAGAAATAGAAGTTTTAATACCTGGTTTTTCACCTTTCTAAAAATTAATGTCTGGTAGGGGTTGAATTGTATTCCCCCAAAATATGTGTTGTAAATCCTAACCTATGTGCCTTTAGTTACAGTCTCCTTTGGGAATAGGTTTACTTTGTTAAATTAATAAGGCAGTATTGGAATAGGGCGTGTCTTAAATTACTATCTTTTCAGATATAAAAGAGCAAATAAGCCAAAAAAATAAACTCATTACCATTGAGTGGAATCTGACTCATAGCAACCCCCATTGAGTTCCTGAGACTGTATATCATTAAGGATCACCCCATCTTCCTTCCATGGAGCGGCTGGTAGGTTTGAACTTCTGAAGTTCTGAGTTATAGCCAAATGCCTTACCCACTATGCCACTTAAAAGAGTACGTAAGCAAGCACAAATGAAGGGGAAAACACATACCATGTCCTCCACAAAGAACCTATGAGTAGAAATTGAAAAGAGACAAGAATCTTCCCTCAGTTGACAGATACTTCTTTCCTCTAGAACTGGAGCTCTTAATTCAAATTCTGGCCTCTTAAACTATGAGAAAATAAACGTCTCTTCCTTAAAACCAACCACTTGTGTTTATAGCAACACTAGATAACTAAGACAATGGCTTATTCAAATAGTTCATATCTAAGTGAATTATAGGCTAAAAAGCATGGATTATGCTTTTTCATGTTTACATTGTCAGGAAAAGAATAACCACATATCTAAAGCTTTAATTATTTGTAGGGAATGTTGTTGTTGTTGTTATGTGCCGTCGAGTCGACCCCCGACTCATAGCGACCCCTCCTTGGGTTTCTGAGGCAGTATCACTACGGAAGTAGGATTGCCCAACCTTCCTTCCGAGTTTGTAGGGAATAGACCAGAACAAATAAAACCTGTATTTCACTGCTTTTCCAGTGAAAGTGGGTAAGTCCCCACCCACATCCATCTTTATTTGGTCTCTTTACTCAGAACTTCTGATGACATCCAAACAAGAGCAACAGAGGAGGAGAGGGTAAAGCAGGTTTTCATGGTAGTTTTCAAATGTCTGACCTGCAGCTCTTTTTCTAGGAATTGATGTTTTTTTTTTTCCTTAACTGTGGTAGGAAACGTTTTCTTATGCCCTATTTTAGCAGGTAACATAGTTTTTTAGTGGGTAATAGCTTCAGAAGACTGATTTGGCTATTTGCTTCCAGTAAGTTCTTCCAAACCAACAACAACAACAACAACAACAAGTTCTTCCCTACACACTTGAAGTTGCCCTGAGTTGGAATTGACTTGATGGCAACCAACAACATATTATTTTAGTGACTTAATGTTTGTATTTCCCTCATTTTGAGCTTTTATGCTATGGAAGGAAGCAGTGCCCATGTGCAAAGTAATATAGTAATCCATGTACAATGTAATATGGTAAGGTTAATACATAATATGTCTCTCCTTAATGTTAGAGATATGCCACGCCATCTTGCGTTGCTCTTCCGGGTTCTTCTTCATTCCCTGCTGCCCCACCCAAGGTCATAAGTCAGTTAAAGGAAGTCAAAACTGAGCTTCCTGCAAGGTGCGAATTTTAAAAGGCAATGTAGCCTCTGATAGGTTAAGACCTCTTCCCCCAGCTCTGATGTACAACCTCCTAACCCCAGGTCTATATAAGACCACCCTCTCCCCTGCTCTTCCTCTCTTCTTCCCTTCTTCCTCTTTCTTTCTTCTCTTCTTCCTCTTCTCCTCTTCTTCTCTCTCCTCTTCTTCTTCTGTCCTTCCTCAGTGCAGGTGCCCTTTCACCTCTTTAATAAAATCTCCTGTTGGGTACCCTGGTGTGTGGCGTGGTCGTTGAGTGCTGACGGAGCTCTAACACTTAATCTCTCACAGCATTGTACACATTATACCAACCTGAACTGATAGCCAAATTGTGATGTTCATGGTGTAATTAATTTGGAACTGGTTTATGTAAGTTGCTCTTTTGGCAAGCTGCTATTTTATAGATATTTTCCCTGTTGTTGTTATGTGCTGTCAAGTTGGCCCCAACTCATAGCGACCCCCCCTTGGGTTTCAGAGGCAGTATCACTACGGAAGTAGATTGCCCAACCTTCTTTCCGAGGAGTGGCTGGTGGGTTTGAACCACCAGCCTTCTGGTTAACAGTCAAGTGCCTTAGGCACTATGCTACCAGAGCTCCTGATATTTTCCCTATCTGTATTCAATTTAAATAATTAAATATTGAATGCCAACTAAATATAAGATAGTGTATGTAGGAGGCGATTTAAAATATAAACTACCTAGTCTATTATTTAAAGGAATTTTCTGTTTAAATGGAGTGAATGAACCAACATACTCAAAGCAAAACAGAATAATTGGGGGGTTGTTGTGTGTTGTCGAGTCAGATCCGACTCATAGCGACCCCTCCTTGGGTTTCCAAGGTGGTATCGCTACAGAAGTAGAT